AAGGTTGCTTCACTTTCATGTATAAACTTCATTTTTGGATTATATGTGAGCATATTTTGTTTTGTGCACAAGATTCCATCTCATATATACACATAGAGTGAATGCCAGGATAGCATATGTGTGATTCATTGTTGAGTGAAACCCTTAGTGAGTTTTGCATCGAAGCAAAATTTGGATAGCTAAGAGAATGTGAATTCCATTTTGTAAATGCTTAAATTTCTTGTTCATTGCACACACACACGAGTTTGGAAGGAAGTGTGTAGGTGCATACTTTAGTTTAGTATTTAAAGCAATAATGTTGATCATGTGTGCTTGGTTCGGTTAGTCGATCGACGTGTTAGGTAGCTCTTCACTCAAAGGATGGGGGAATATGGCTCAACTTTTGATATTTGGTTAGATTTAGGAATACCCTTGTTATTAGAACTCATGGTTTGCATTTTGGGTATTCATTTTGGTAGTTTAAATTAGAAATCCATGCCTTATACTTTGAAAACATCAAAATCTTAAATCATATTGCAATTTCAAAATTGAATTTGGGGAGTGATCAACCAATTGTGGTTTATAAGTGTGGTTCAAGTTTTTGGTAGGTTAGATGTCTTAGAAAGGGTGTTAAAATGTTTTGGAGTTGAGGAGAATTGGGTTGGATGTGAATTTTTGAATAAAGGATTGGTTTTGCCCACTGGAATTTTTTGACCCAAGCAGTAAGCAAAACCTTCCAAAAGGTTTTGCCCTAAAACCTAAAAGCGAGGGTTTCAAGTTAGATTTTTTTCGAAAAACCTTTCATATTTCCCCCAAATCAAAGCATCCCAATTCCTCTCCTTTCCTCCTACTCCCTTCTAACCTTCAAATCACTCTTCCCAAACCTCAAATTTCCCACTTTCTCTTGATTAAGGTTGGATTTCAAGGCATTTTAGCCAAAAATTTCAACATTTCCCACAAATCCCTAAAACTCCAATTTCCCCCAAGTCTCTCTCAGTTTGTCATTCTTTCCCAACCCTATTGGAGTTCATTATAATGGCGAGGATGAATGGTATGGCCATGGAAGGGTTTGAGCCTTTGGAGAGTCTATGGTGGTTGATTTTGACATTCCCAGGTCTTGGGGCATTGTTGTCCTTCTTGGCCCGCATGACGAGGACTAACACCGAGTCTCCTCCACCCAAAGACTCTAGCTCCCAAAAAAGAGCCGAAGAAAGCCCCAATGGCCGAGAGAGAGGAGCGAAGAACTAAGGCTAAGCACGATGCACAGAGGTAGAGGATAAAGGAAAAGGGGGTGACATGCGAGAGCAATGTTGACAAAGCCTCTCTTGAACCTAGGGATGAGGTAGTAAGGGTGATTGAGGCTCGTGAATTAAAGGTGTGGTTTGAGTAAGTTAAGGGGTATAAGTTGGGCTTGTGTCAGGAATTTTACAAGAAATTATTGATGTTCAGGGAAGACAGAGGTCGATTGAGGACCAATGTTCGAGGTAAAGTCTTTGAGGTGACTCCTGATACCATTGCCACAGTGATGGGGTACGAGAGGCTACCCCCTGTCTACCCATACAATGTGGATGAGGGTAGGACACTCCGTGACTACGTGGCCCTTACTTATGAGGATCTAACCACGTTTTAGGGAACGACGTTGTTCAGGGGCCTTAAGCACACATACAGGGTAATGAATAAACAATTTGATGCTCCAGGGTTCAGAGAAGAACTCGAACATAAATAAGTTAGCTTTACTGCATGCATTCATGATGGGGGTAGCCATGGACATGGCTTACTTGATCTGGATGGAGATGAGGGAGTTTACCCAGGCTGCAAAGCCAAAGGCAAATCTCCTATTTGGCAGCTTCGTTACCAAGTTTTGCACTCATACTAAGGTGCAGATGTATGCACACGATACCATTCTCCCCCAGGGATCGGAGTTATGAAGAAGTCCAGTAGTAGCAACAGAGCTGCCAGGACTGGGGGTGAGAGAGCCAAGGCTCCGAGACCAGAGCGGTCTACAGCCGAGACCTACACCTACTGCTGCTCGTACCATGCCACAACGTATGGACATACAGGAGTCCACTGTGCATGTGATGTCAATCATGGTCACCAGGCTCTTCTAGCAAGCATTCTCGAGTGAGCCTATCCCCGGAGGACCTCCACCACAGCTTGCTAAGCCCCCGACCACTGCCCTAGTGCCCTCCACGACTGTTGAGGTCCATGCTGATGACGATTACGAGGAGGAGCTTGACATAGAGACCAAGTTCAAGACTAAGGATGAGGATGATTTTGATGAGGATGATGATTGACGAGTTTTGTATTTTGTTTTGAATTTTGGGTTGTACATAGTTTGGGGTTCTTGTGTCGGCCAGTAGAAGTATCACTAGATTTTGCTAATTTGTTTTGGAACTTGAACTCATTGTAATGAACTTTTTGAAATGATCAATGAAATACCACATTTCTTTTGTTAATCACTGCCCAAAGCGATTTTTGCAATTGTAATATGATTTTTGTATTTTGAATGGTGTGATTGTATGAATGGATGTTGTTTAATGTATAGCTTGTGGTTGAAAATAATGTTGCTAGGGACTAGCAAAGCTCAAGTTGGGGGGTGTGATTAGCACAAAAACATGACATATATTGTGTGCTAATATTCCTTTTATACTTGCATTTGTCATAATATTGGGGAGAAATACGATTAATCTTTGTTTTAATGGAGTTTTGTGTAAATGCAGAAAAGATGATGTAAATGACTCAAGTTAAGCCCCCAATGAAGTGGTTGAAATCAATGAAGATGAGGGGGTTGCTTAAAGGAAGGTTTGGAGGGTGAAGAAGCCAAGAAAAATCAAATTGGTTGAAAACCTTTCGGAAGGTTTTGCCTTGGATTTAATTTTTTTCACTACCAAAACCATCCAGAAGGTTGTTTACTGCATTAAACCTTCCGGAAGATTTTTCCTACTGGAGTGAAACCTTCCGAAAGGTTTTGCCTACTGGAATGAACCTTCCAGAAGGTTTTGCCTATTGACTTCTTCATTTAACTATTCCTGCACAAACCTTCCAGAAGGTTTTGCCCAACCTGCAACTCAATTCTGCAACTTAGGGGTCCCTCTTACAATTCTTGAACATGTCCCTTGACATTCCATACATGTCTAGAAGGCCTTCCTCAACCTACATTGGACTTTTGGAGTCTTGGGCATTAATGTGGAGAGAGAAGAAAGAATATGCTGGGTGTGGAGACAAAGCCTCCACCACCTCGCACCAACCCATCTTTTTTAGCCTCTGTTGATTGGAATCACATCACACAGCTAGAGGACACCCCATGGATGTTTTTGGAGCTGAATTCGCCATGGATTCAAAAAAGGAGTTACATATGCTTTGTAAAATAGAGATAGAGTTTAGGAAGAAGATGAGCAGTGTTAGAGAGAGAAGTTAAGTTTTTTGCATTTTTTTCCATACATTGTCTTGTAATTTCATGGAAGGATCTTCTAAGCTTTGTTTGAAGTCTTTAATGCAATTATTACAAGTTGTTTCAAGTTTAGTCTTCTAGTCAAGCTTTCACCATTAATGCATTCAAGTTCTTCATTTCTTAGTTTTAAAATGGGCATTAAATGTATTCTCTTTTAGTTTATGTTTTCTTGCATTAATTTAACTAAAATCTTCATTGCTCTACAATGTCTTTCCATTACATTATTGTCTTTCCTTTAAGCATGAGTTGCTAAGTCTTTAAGTTGGCTAATCCAAAGAAGACCTCCTCTTGGATATGCCATGTCAACTCATCGTCTTTCCTCCCATTGGTGTACGATAGTTTGGTTTAACTGGGTTGAGGGTGAACGGGATTGTGAGTCTTTGATATCCCGTAGACTTGTAACAGTTTATGCTTGCATCCTCACTTTCATCTTGTCCCTAGCTTCGCACGAATCAATCATTCATCTATGCACAAATGGAGGAAGGTTTCGAGTTGATTTGGCATTCCCATTGGAATGAACCCTTTGGTTTGGCCAACACTTGTTTCCCATTTCATTTTCATCACAACCCAATCACAAACCAAATTTCAAACAACCAAAGATTTTTACACTTTTCTTTTACCAAAATCACCTTAAACACAATTCACCTCCTTCCCTAAGGAGACAACCTTGGAATACGATTCCAAATAAAACACAACAAGCAAAAGTTTCTCTACGCTTGGGGAGCATTTTTGTTCACACACATACACACACATCTTACACTTCATTCCACTAATATTTTGTTACCCTTTCTTTTGACATCCTTCTAATGGAGAGTGACACTCCCATCCATACATACACTATACACATTGAGGGATGATGTTAGGAGATTAGGATACTACAACAGAAACAATCAAGAAACTATACAACAATCAAATAACCCTAGTAAACCCGAAGGTGAACCATTCAAAAGTTTTACTCTAGCTATTCAATTGGTAGGTGCATAGGACTTCGCATTGTAGTGGTCACACATACAAGTCACAAGACTCCCCAAAGGGAGATTCAACTTCGGCTTTGCAACCTTGGCAAACTCGCTCATCTCCTCCCATATCAATAATGCTACATCGATTGCCTTCCCCTTCATGAATGCGTGGAGGATGGCAAGGTTCTCGATGTTTGGGCTCTTCTCAGACCCCCTGGACATCAAATTATAGTGAACCACCTTGGTCATCACCCCATAGACATGCCTAAGGCCCCCGAGAAGAGTCGTCCCCTTAAAAGTGGTCAAGTCCTCTTAAGTGAGCCTAACATCCTACCCCTTCAACATTATGTAGGTAGAAAGGGGTAGTAGGGGGAGGCTTCTCATACCCCATCACTGTGCCAATCAACTCAGGGGTCACCTCAAAAGTCTTCCCCCTCACACTGGTCCTCAACCTACTACCATCGTCGCCAAACATCGTCAATTTCTTGTAAAACTCTCTACACATCCCCAGATTATAGCCTTTCACCTCCTCAAACCAAAGATTCAACCCTGGTGCTTCGATTGTCTTCACAACTTCATCATTTGGCCTAAGAGAGATTTTATCCACATACCTCTCGCATGTGACAACTAGGGCCTTCTTCGATCCTCTTGCGGGAGCTAGTGCCCATAGGTAGTGCGGTCATAGGGCCTATTCTCTTGGTACAGACCATGAGGGACAACAGTTCCCTAGCACCAAGGATAGTCAAAATCCACATCACAACCCATTTGAAGGGCTCAAATGTATCAAGAGATGCCTTTCCCAAATGAGCCATGGCAAGGGAATGTAGAGAGTCGTGGAAGATCACAAAGAACTAGAGAATTTGGGAGACTTGGAGACCTAGGGTTTTTAGAGAACACCCAAAATTTTGGCCACAATCCACTCAAAACTCAACCCTAATTAAGAGGAAAGTGAGAATCTAGGGCTTTGGTGAAGTGTTTTGGAGCTGGGAAGAGAGTAGAAGGAGGGAAGAGAGCTTGAGAGCTTGAGATTTGGGAGAAATGTGAAGGGTTTCTCAAAAGATTCTAACTTAAAACCCTCATTTTTAAGCTTCTGAGCAAGACTTTCTGGAAGGTTGATCAAAACCTTCCAGAAGGTTTTGCACACTGAACAGAACCTTCCAAAAGGTTTATAACCAAACCTTCTGAAAGGTTTTGCCTTTGCTGCAAAACCATTCCTTTACCCAAAAACTCACATCCAATCCAACTTTCCTCAACTCCAAAACATTTTAACACCGTATCTATGACATCTATCCTACCAAAACTTGAACCACACATATGAACCACAATTGATTGATCATGCCCAAAGTCATTTCTGAAATTGCAACATGATTTACAATTTTGATGTTTTCAAACTACAAAACACGGATTTCTAATTTTAACTACCAAAATGAATACCCAAAATATAAAACATGAATTCAAATAACAAGGGCATTCCTAAATCTTATAAAATATCGAAAGTTTAGCAATATTCCTCCATTCATTACGCATAGGGCTACGAAACACATTGCTCAAAGCCCAAACTATGCACATATCAGCTTTATCATGACTTTAAATACTATGCTTGGATTATGCACATACATAATCATTTTCAAACTTGTGTGTGTGTGAAATGGACATGTAGTTGAAGCATTTACACAATAGGGTTTACATTCACTTTGGCTATCCAAATTAAGCTTTGATGCAACCTCACCAAGGGTCTCTCAACAAAGAATCACACTATAGTTATCCTGGCATGCTCTCCATGTGTATATGTGAGATAGAATCTTGTGTACAAAATGAAATATGTTCACATATAATCCAAAAATGAAGTTCATGCATTAAAATGAAACAACCTTGGCATAATCTCATGAAAGGAATGCTAGGGTATTAGATACCAAAATCAACATTTCTTTTTCTTTAAAAGTATGCTATCCCTATGCTTTCTCTAGATCATTTAGGATTTTCAAGGGTTATAATGGGGCCTTGGGGTGATATTGAGGCCAATCAAATGAAGGATATAGGACAACAAAGAGGGTTGTTTCGAATGAATGACTTTTATTTCAAAAACATCTCATTTTTCATGGGATTTTTCGTCTAACACCATCACCGAACTATTTGTTTCTTTTCCTTAGTATTTTCCTTTTATTTTTGATCATCCTTTCTTCCTTCACCCCCTTTTTTCTCCTTTTCTTGGATTTTCATTTTTTTTCATTCAACTCTTTGAATTCAACTTATTCATCCCTTTTGTTGAGTTTTCGCCATACTTCATTCTCTTTCATCATCACTTATACCAGCACTAGGAACAACCAAGGTGAGGTAGATTTTATCATTTTGCACTGACTTGGTCAAATGTGTGGCATGGAAACGAATTAACAATTAATGCTCAATCACGACACTAGGGATAAAATTTTCACAAGAAAAAGGCAATGGCTCAAAGCAAATCAAGGATGACCTAAGATTATTTCTAGATAGGCATGGGAGAGCATTATACATATCAAGACAAAGTCAATCAACTATCCAAATGCACCTAACCAAGACAAGCATAATGAGATTATTGAACACATTTGGAATTTGAAAAATTGTTCTTTGAGTAAATGTAAGTTCCCTCTACAAGGATTGGCACTAAGACTCTCATGGGTTCTTACTCATCTCCACTATTCATGTCAAACACTAAAATGTGAACTCAGTCCGTAAATTGCCGAAATTACACATTCAATGAGTACATATTGGTGAGTTCAAAAGCAAATGCTTATGTGATACTCAAGCATAGGATGAATTTTTATAATGTGCTCATGTACTCAAAATTCAACACAAAAATTAACATATCAACAAACCCATAACACTCTTAATAAAGGGATACACATCAACATTCAGATATTTTTCACAAACAATGTTCAAAATTTTCAAAATTTTCACATAATTTGCAACTATTGTAAACAAAAATCTATAGGATATGTGAAAGGTGAATTTTCACCACAAAAATTGATATTATCAACAAAAATTTTCACAAACAATGGTGTATCATACAAATGGTACACCTCACCCCCAACTTAATTCATGCATTGTCCTCAATGCAACAAAAAGGATATGCTATGCAATGAAGGACTATTAAAAGATGAGTAGGGTTAGAGGACACCTCGCACTTGAGCTATGCCAAAAACAATACCAATATCTGCAACTAAGAAAGACAACACTATACGCAAAGATAAAGTAAGTAAACATAAATAGATAAAGTAGGTAAAGACGATTGCACACTTAAAACCATAAGAACAGTTAATCCTCCAACAAGTCCGGGTAAACTAGATCCAACAATTCTTCCTCCACCCATTGACCTTCTAACCCCTCAAAGAATGGGTTAAGTCTTTGGCCATTGACCTTGAATGTCTTGTCATCCTCGAGGTTTGTGACTTCAATAGCTCCATTAGGGTAGGCCACCTTGAAAAAAATAAGGGTCATCCCAACGGGATCAGAGATTCCCTTGAAAGATTGAGAGATGAGAATTGTATAAGAGCACTTTTTGTCTGAGCTGAAATGATTTCCTTACAATGGATTTATTATGAAAGTTCTTTGCCCTCTCTTTTGAAATTTTAGAGCTCTCATGCGCATCTCTTCGAATCTCTTCCAATTCATTCATTTCAAGCTTCCTATTATCTCTGGCCATTCTTAAATTGAAGTTTAAAGTCTTTATAGCCCAATAGGACTTGTACTCCATTTCAACTGGCAAATGGCAAGCCTTGCCATAGACAAGCCGATAGGGGAACACGCCTAGGATGGTTTTGTAGGTAGTGCAGTAAGCCCATAGGGCATCGGTCAGTCTAAATGACCAAGCCTTACTATTTGGGTTCACTTTTTTCTCTAGGATATTTTTAATGTCCCTATTGGCCAACTCGGCTTGATCATTAGTCTGTGGGTGATATGTGGTGGAAACCTTTTGTGTGATGCCATACTTATGCATCAAAGAAGCAAATTACTTATTATAGAAATACAACCCACCATCACTTATCATTGCACGAGGCATCCCTAAATCTCAAAAAAATGTTCTCCTTGAGAAACTTGACCACGACCCGGTGGTCATTGGTCTTGGTTGGGATAGCCTCCACCCATTTGCACACGTAGTCCACTGCTAGTAAAATGTATTGGTAGTCAAACGACATGGGAAAAGGACCCATGAAGTTGATGCCACAACAATCAAATATGTCAATAACAAGTACAAGGGAGAGGGCATCATGTTCCACTACCCAATTTTTGACACCTACCACATTCCTTACAAGATGAGACACAGACTTTGTTTAATGAGGGCCAATAAAAACTGGCTGTAGAATCTTTGCTGAAGTCTTCTTTGAAAAGAAGTGACCACCGCACGCTTCTGAGTGGCAAAATGTAAGGACATCCCGTTGTTCATTTTTTGGTACGCATCTCCTCATGAATTGGTCAAGGCAATACTTGAATGGGTACGAGTTGTCAAAGTAAAAGTACTTAACATCCGCCATAAACCTTCGTCTATCCTCTAGGCTCCTATGCGATGGTACTTGTCCTATAGCAAGATAATTACATATATTAGCATACTAGGGACAAACATAATGAATTGAAAATAAATGCTTGTCAAGAAAAGAGTCAGGAATAGGGATATGTTTATCAGCATCTTGCACCGCAAGTCAGGACAAATGGTCCTCCACCATGTTCTCCACTTCTTTCTTATCTTTGATTGCCAAGTTGAACTATTGGAGTAGGAGGATCCACCTAATGAGTCTCAGTTTGGCATCCTGCTTAGGTAAAAGATTCTTCAAAGTAGGGTGATCAGTATAGACTACTATTGTTGAACCAATAATGTAAAACCAAAACTTATCCAATGCAAATAATATCGCTAGCAACTCTTTTTATGTGGTGTTATAGTTAATTTGAGCTTCATTAAGAGTTTTGCTAGCGTAGTATATTACACAAGGTCTCTTGTCCTCCCTTCGACCAAGCACTGCGTTGACCGCGTAATCACTCGTGTCTCACATAAGCTCAAATGGTGAGTCCCACTTGAGTGGTCGTATAATTGGAGGTGTAGTGAGCATGCTTTTCAAATTTTTTAAATGATGCCTCACAATTATCCGACAACACATTTGGGACATCTTTTGAAAGGAAATTAGTCAAAGGTTAGGTCAATGCACTAAAGTCCTTAATAAAAGGATGATAAAAACTAGCTTGGCCAAGAAATGACCTGATGTTTTTTATGATCGTTGGTGTGAGGAGGTTGGAAATTGCATTCACCTTTGATTTGTCGACTTCGATTCCCTTTGTCGAAATGATATGCCCGAGCACTATCCCTTGCATTACCATAAAGTGACACATTTTCCCAATCGAGGACCAAGTTCTTCTCCTCGCATCTCTCAAGTACTCTCTCTAAGTTCTCTATAAAACCACTGAAGGAATCCCCAAATACTAAGAAGTCATCTATAAACACTTCCATGATCTTCTCCGCCATATCACTGAAAATTCTCATCACGCATCTTTGAAAAGTCCCTAGGGCATTACACAACCTAAATGGCATGTGTCGATAGGCAAAGGCACCGTAGGGGCAAGTGAAGATGGTATTTTCTTGATCCTTCAATGCAATCTCAATTTGGTTGTACCTGGAGTAGCCATCCAAGAAGCAGTAAAATGGGTGCCTAGCTACTCTTTCCAACACTTTGTCAAGGAATGGCAATAGGAAGTGGCCTTTTCTCGTACACAAGTTGAGTTTTCGGTAATCAATACACATTTTCCATCTGGTGATTATCCTAGTCGAAATTAACTCATTATCCTCATT